AGGAAAACAAAATGTTTGCCGCAGCAAAATAATAGTTACGAAAAAGGATCTAAAAAAAAATTTAAAGGAAAATAAGTAAGTGGGACTCCGTTGACGAGCAATGCGGCATAGGATATCCCCCTACTGCTTAATATTATTTACTACACACTTAAGCATTCAAGTGGTGTGTTTGCAGGAATGCCGCCGAAAAGTACAGCGCCTGCTTATGTAATGCGCGTGCACACACTTGTGCAAACGTGTGCATGTGTGTCTTGTATGACAGCACAGACTGGTTGTGGTTTAACAGCAATTTTCACTCGTCTTTTAAGTTGCGCAGTAATAGCTTTCTGTGTTTGCCTTGGTAAAAGTTTTGCCTTCTTTTTTCCTTTTCTCTGCCTAGGCAATGAACTCTGTGGTGGTGCGCTGCTCTTCTTGTGTTGCATTTTGGAGTATAGTTTAGCAATGCTTGTGTTGGCAATTAAAAAAAAAAAAAACTCTATATATATAAATACATATGGCATGCATACCACAAATTCAATTCAGAAGAGCTCCTAAATGCCAGCGAAAGGCGCTACACTTAAGCTGAATTTTAGTTAAGGCACTTTTGCTGATGCAACAGTAACAGTTCAAGTGCTCTTCATATGTAAACGAATTTAGGAGTTTCAATATACCTATCCCCGTAAGAGCGAGCTTCCAAAGAAAATAAAAAAAATTATAGTTTAAAAAACTAGAATCTCGCTATTACAGAAGCTTCTTATATTACACCGTGAGACAATTTATGACAACTGACTGCTACGCACATGAAATGAAAACTAGTGGTTACCAATTAAATTGCTATTTGGAGACTTATTTTTCCAATCAAGTTATGAACGTTATTTTTATATTTCATTCCTTAGAAAAAAATAAATAAATTTGTTCATAAAAACGCAAGTATGGCGATCAATTATAACGATAAAAATTATAGAGAAAATAAAAATCCAAATAAAACGATCATTTATGATCGAAAAAAGAAAACTAAACAGGCTTAAATGAAATTAAAAAAAATTTATATTTCAAATAAATATCTTATGCCAGAAAAAAAAACCGAGAAAGGCATTACTTTCGTCTCCTCCTTTTTATGGATCAATATGACTTTAGTGAAAACATTGAATAAAATTGAATCACTGTGTCAGTCGGTAACTTGATTATCACTCAAACAGACGTCAGTTTTGAGAAACTCGAGCAATCATATAATTTGGGAATTAAGCAAAGGGAGTTAGGCTCTCATTCAAAAAAAAAAAAAAAAAAAAAAACAATTTACTCCTCATAAAAGCCAGTTTCTCGCTAAACTTGCTAGT